ATGTGTGTTGGACTGGGGCGTTGTTTGTGGGTTGTGTGGCGGACCTGTTCTTTCCTCAGTAAATGGCTCGATGAAGATGATGAGACCCGCTTGACGGTGGTGATGGTGGAGCGGCGGTGATGTTTGTGGTGTTGGTGTGGCTACAGACATTGGTGTGTTGTGCCAACCAGGCAAGACCAAAGAAGCGAGGAGGGCGCGGCTGTTGTTCCTTTCGGCGACAAAGAGCGTCGGGTTGTTTTGCTGGCTGGCTGGAGGCTCTTCATCCTGTTTGTTTGTTGTGTTCCTGTCGACATGAGATTGTTGACGAACATCTTCCACGGAAGCGCTGCTGTGCGGATAACCTCTGCAAGGTTTTGCGAATCGTCCAATGGCCGAGTCGCAAAACAACAACACACAAAACAAAGGAAACAAACAAAGCAGCGCGTTGAGTTGTTGTCCTCCATTTTGTCGTCGTCTTCTTCCAACCACTTACGAACACGTCACAACAAGCCACAAGGAGAAAGACGACGCGCCGTCGCCATGTCCGGCGGAGAGAAGAGAGCAAGGGAGGAGGTGGAGGCGTTGCTGGCGCAGACGAAGGTGAAGGATGGGGTGAAGAACAAGATCAGGGCCATCGCCAACAACACGTGTCCGGGGGGAATAGAGTGAGTGCAAAAGCAACCAAAACGACGTGTTGCAACATGCATGCATGTGTTGGACACTAGGCCACAAGGACACTTCTTGTGGTTGTACTCGTGCTTATTCTCCCCCTCCCTCTCTGCTTGGCTTGTCCTTGTGTTGCAATGGGTGTGGTGTGGCTTGCTGTTGGGTGTTCACGTGTGCGTGTCCTGTCCCCTCGCACCGCCTGGACACATCAACAGAGAGAGAGTGTGTGTGTGTGTGTTTGTGGCAGGTTGTGACTGACACCCTCATGTTTTTGCTGTCTCGATCCTCAGTCTTCTTGCTCATTTCATGACACACACCATTCATTTGTAATTACAGCTTGGGTGGTTATGGCCTCGGCGTCATTGAGGCGCGTGCGGTGGCCGAGGCGCTCAAGGACAACACCTGCCTCGAAACGCTCGAGTGCGTGGTGATGATGAATCTGCATCGTGTGATATGCATGGTTGATTGGGATGGCGGTGTTGCATGTTGCACCCCTTTCTCCTCCCCTGCTTGCGCATGTTTGGACGTGTGTTCACCTTCGCTCCCTGCGTTTCCTTGTGTGCCTGCACAGCCTGGCAGTCAATTCCATCGGCGATGAGGGCGCTGTGGCGTTGGCGGAGATGCTGAAGCACAACACGGCCCTCAAACAACTCTAGTGAGTGTGTACACGCACACATGCACACATGTATGCTGCGTCACTGCCATTGCACCTTATCACGTGCACATGTGTGGTTGATGGGGTGGGGTTCAACGACTGTGTTGACACCCACAACAATCATCATGACGCACGCATGTGGCATCATCCCCCTGTGTGGCATCCACCATACCGTCTTGACAGCCTGAGTGAGAACTCCATCGGCCCTGAGGGCGCCGTGGCGTTGGCGGAGATGCTGAAGCACAACACGACCCTCACAGCACTCGAGTGAGTGGAAGCTCCTCTTTGCAATGTGTGTCTTTAGGCGCTTCTTCCGCAATACCCGTGTGCAGATGGAGGCACCGCAAGCCACCCACGATGTCTGTGCGACTTGCTTGTTTGACCAACAAATGCTTCCATCCTTCATATGTGCCACAAGTGCTGCCACATCCTGTGCAATTTGCATTTGCCCCCTTTGCTTCCGCCATTGTGACTTCAATGTCGTAGGACCTGATGTGCGAGCGAGTCCGCGTGCACGTGGTCCATCTGCAACCCACTTTTATCCATGACACTGACACGTGTTGCTTGCCCACCCGTTCCCCTGCTCTTCCAACATGCACTTCTTGCCACTTGCAGCTTGCGTAACAACTCCATCACCCCAGTTGGCGGTGCGGCGCTGGGTGCCGCACTGGACGAAAACCGCACGCTGGAAACACTCTGGTTTGTCGCTTGTGCTGCGCCTGCCTCATGAACGCCTGTGTCCTGTTGTGGATTTGTGTGACCAATCGCCACTCTTTTGAGTGCACGCCACACTGTGTGTTCCTCTTTACTTGCTTGCATTTCTCCACAACCCTCCTGACCAACCCTCCTGACGCACACACCACACTTGCTGCTTGTTCCCAACCACACACTACCACCACGTGTCCTCGTTCAGTATTCGGAAGAACTCCACCGCCACCGCCCGCGCCTTTGGTGCCGCGCTGCCCGTCGACCGAGAACTCATCACAGACTGGTCAGTCAATGCGTGCTTCCACTCTAGTCGTTCGCTCCTTGCCTTCTCTCTACCCTTCACCTCACGCACACACGCTGCGTGATGCTTGCATCCAATGTCGCGTGGGATCACAGGTTTGGCGACGATGAGGGCAACGCCGCCTTCGACGAAGCACGCGCGGAGAAGAAGCGGCAGCATGAGCAACTGTTTTCCGCCTGCAGGGATGGCGACGCTCCCGCTGTCACGTCCCTCATCGAGCAGGACAATACAGACATCAACCAACAGGACAAGCAGGTATGTTCATTATGTGTGTGTGTGTGCTGTGCTTGTATGTGAACGGCGCTCGCTCATGGTTGCACCGGCCGTGCGTTCGTTTCCAACAGATCCTCACCACACGTGCCATGCCCCTTGCTGCCCCCACCCATCCACAGGGCGACACGCCACTGCACGTTGCCTGCAGGCACAACCATCCCGCCGTCGTGGAGCTACTCCTGAAGAAGGGCGCAGACACTGCCGTCAAGAACAAGAAGGTGTGCTTCGCGTCGTGTTGCTGTTTCTGAAGACGTGACACGACTGCTTCTTTGCTTTGCGCTGTCCTCCCCCTCTCCCTGCTTCCCTCCTTCCTCAACTCATGCGTTTTACCTTTCCAACACACGCAGGGAGAGACGCCCTACGATGCGGCACAAGCCAGCGGCCACGCTGCCATCACCAGCATCCAAGGGCTGAAACCAGGCGGCAAGCCTTCGGAGCAACCACAGCAACAACAGCAGCAGCCAAAACAAGAGCCACCTGCGCCCACTCCTGCCGCCGGACCGAAGCAAGAAGAACAAGCAGCGCAAGACGTGAGTGATCAGAAGAGTGCTTGCTTGCAACGCACAAGCATATGCATCACGTCACCCATGCCATTCCTTCATCACGCTCTCCGTGGTCTCGTATCAAGCATAATCATGATGTCTCACACAACCATCACCACCACCACCACCAGCAGCAGCCCGAGCAGGCGCGCAGGGAGCGTCTCCAGCAGCGCATGCGGGAGGTCATAGCACGCTTCAACGCGACCATGGCGGGCAGGGCCAAACTCATCTTTATTGGTCAGGGGCGCGCCGGCAAGACTTCCACGTTCCACTCGCTCATGGGTCACATGTTCAACAAGCATGAGCACTCCACCCTTGGCGCCACCTCAACCGACCTCGCCGTCATTGTCGAATCAATGGACGTTCACGACTGGCAGGTGTGTACCCTTGTCTGGTGCGAGCATGTGATGTGTGCGACGCATGGGTGTGAAGAGAGGTGTTGTGAGTGACTCGATGACACGCACACACACACACGCACGTACACACACACACACACACACACACATCCGCACACACACATACACATCCACACACACACACACACACACACACACACACAACCTTTGCAGGAGCTGGATGCGGAGATCTCGGAGTTGATGCGCAGCCTCTGCGGAACGGCGCTGGCGCAGGAATCTGGCGTGGACTTGCAGATGAAGCAGGCGATGATGAAGGCGAAGGCCGACTTGGGGAGCCGCGTTGCCCAGCACCAGCACCAACAGCGGCAACAAGAAGCCGAGAAGGCAGAGAAGGCAGCTGCTGCCAAACTGAAGCAAAGACAGTCACAGCAGTCAATGGAGACGCGGTCACGGCCATCCTCCCGCACGTCATCATCGACCGTCCCAAAGCCCAGCAAGACGTCTCAGATGTCAGCATCTGCGCCCACGAAGCAGGCCACCCTAACCCCTTCCAGCCAAAGTGATGCTGCTGCGCGTGACAACAGCAGCAGCACCACGCCCGGCATGTCTGCTGAGGAAATGGAGAAAGCGATCAAGGAGTTCAACATGGATGCCGTCATGGGCGAGGGCAAAGCACGGGTAACGTTCAAGATCTTTGACCTGGGCGGCCAGTCCACCTTCTACATCTTTCACCCTTTCTTCCTCACCAAGTGAGTACTTCTGTGTGTTGTGTGTGTGTGTGTGCGTGTGTGTGCGTGTGCGTGTGTGTGCGCATATCAGTCCCAGTGCACGTGTAATTGCTGTCACCCTAGATTCGGCACCCTCCACCTCACGGCCCCCCCACCCTACCTTCAACTCACACCCCCCCACCACACATACAACCCACACCAGGTACGCGGTGTACCTGCTGGTGTTCTCCATGGAGGACCTGTTGCACGAAGACGAGAGCCATCGGGCAGAGGCGTGGGAGTTTATGGAGCACTGGCTCTCCTCCCTCCACCTCCACGCAAAGGGCGCACCCGTCATCATCGTCGGCACCTTCGCTGATGTGGTCAGTCAGCGGAAGCAGCACGAGAACATCTCGCGTCACATCTACAGTCGCCTGCGCCACAATCCCGCCTTCCCTGGCGTCATCCACAACGACAAGCATGGGCTGTGGTTCTGGCCCGTCGACAACACCAAGTCCATCAATGACCCCATGATCCAGGACCTGCGCCAGACCATCTCCTCCACAGCACTGGCGCAGGAGTACGTGAGCCAGGAGGTGGCTGTGCCATATCTCCACCTCTACGACAAGCTCAACGCCATCGCCCGCGATGAAAAGCGGCCGCTGCTCACGTTTGATGAGGTGGTGCAGATTGCGCGCACATGTGGGCTGCGCACACGTGAGGAGACAAGAGCCTGCCTGCAGTTCCTGCACTTGTACTCCATGGTGCTGTACTACGACAGCGTGCCTGGCATGGAGGACTGTGTGATCCTGAGTCCGCAGTGGGCGGTGGACATGATGACGCGCGTCATCCGCAACTTTGATCTGCACCACGACGTGCGTGATGGCAAGGCGAGGGCCGTTGGTGCCGACGTGTGGGACGACCTGGTTGACCGCGGCATCCTGCACCGCCGTCTACTTGATGTGCTGTGGAGGGACTTGGAAGGTGGCATGGTTGACCCGTTCCTCCAACTCATGATGGAGTACGGGTTGTGTATCCGGTACACGGCACCAACGGTGCTGCTGCCCGGTCCTCAACAGCAACAACAACACCACCAACAGTACCTCGTCCCAGCCATCCTGCCGATGACGCTGGAGGACGAACAGGCGTCCTCGTCGGTGACTCTGAGCACGGCAGCAGCACAGCAAGCAAATCCGTATGTTGGATATGAGGAGAAGACAGCCTACGTCGCCTTCAGCCTGAGGGAGTTCAAGAGGGGTGTAAGCGCCAAGATTGCAGACACGCAGCAAGCCTCCTTCCTGCCAGAGGGCCTGTTCCCGATGGTTCTGGCACGCGTGATGGCACACATGCAACACGGTGCAGCAGAACCGCCCATGTTGAGCCGCACAGACGCCGTGATCTTCATGGACGTGGCTGAGATCGAGATGCAGCTCGTGCCGGCTGTTGGCGGCATCAAGATCAAGGTCATGACTGCACGTCCTCGCACGCTGCTGCACATGCTGTACGACACCATCACTACAGCTGTCACGCAGCGCTACCCCGAGCTCAAGGCCACGTTGCTGCTGCCATTTAATGACACAAGGCTGCTGTTCTTCGAGGACGTGCACACCCACCACACGAACAAGAAAGCGCTTCGCGTTGGCCGCTCACAGCTGCTGTCACCAGAGGATCTGGTCGCCAAATATGGTCCACTCTTGCCAGTTATGGGTCAGCAGGACAAATACGACGCCTTCATCAGTTACAGGTGGGACATGTGTGTGTGTGTATGTGTGTGTGTGTGCGTGCATGAGTGTGTGCATGAATGTATGGTGCGATCTGGGTGTCTTTCCTTCCCTCTCTCTTCCTTTCTTATTTCGACATTCACCACCACGCCACAGGCAACGCGGCAACCGGGGTTTGGTGATGACCTTGTCCCCTAAGTTGGAACAGCACGGACTGGTGACCTTTGTGGACAGCAACAACTTGGAGACAGGCGTCAACTTCAAGTACGCGTGCATGGCAGCTCTTCAGCACAGCGTGGTCGCCTGTCCCATCGTGTCTGTCGGTGCCATCCATCAGATGCAGCATCGCTCGGCCACACTGGACACTAGAGTGGACCCTGCGGTCACGGTCCCCGCGCCCCTAAGACTGACTTTGAATGGGTTTACATGCAACAATCCGTCTGATAATTTCCGCATGAGCCGCGGCCTGTGTTAAGAACTTGAGTACGATTGCAATCGTTCCGAGGGGTAACGTCTTGTTGGAGTGGATGCCGATGCTGGAGCTGCAGCAGCTTGCTCGCCCAGCATCCAGACAAGGTCCACCTCCGCCCGCATCGTTCCGCTCTTCCTCGGCAGTGGCTGGCACGACAGCAGTCACCATGTTATGAGCGCGGGCGGAGGGTGAGCGAGTACGACTCGTTTGACCGCCTGAAGAGACTGGCAACGAAGTTGCCGGATGTTGTGAGCAAGAACACGGCGGCAGCGCTGGACCAGTTCTTTTCACAGGTGCTGCGATTGCCACCGCCCCAGCAGCACAAAGAGCGTGCGGGAAGTGGTGCTGTCGCTATTTGACATTGATGCGGTGATTGCGGTGGATGCCGGTGTGGACCGCACGTCGCAGCTGCGCGACATTGCGGAGAAGGTGCGCCAGGTCGTCGTCTCTGCCGGCAACGAGGAGCAAGCAGCACTGGGGCCAGGCACAGCGCGTGCATCCAAGAAGGTATGCGCGCTGTGCTGTGCTCTGTGTGTGTGTGTGTGTGTGTGTGTGTGTGTGTGTGTGTGTGTGTGTGGGTGGGTGGGTGGGTGGGTGGGTGTATGTGTGTGTGTGTGTGTGTGTGTGTGCGTGTGTGTATGCAGGCGCACTCTTTCCTCTCATCCACTTGGCGTGCGTGGTGTGTCTTGCTCAACCCCGCCAACTTGTCTGCCGTGCAGTCCTTCTTCTCCTCCTTCTCCACCTCCTTCTCCTCCACAACACCTGTTACACCGCTGCCCGCCACCCCTTCCTCCTCGTCCTCAAACTCATTCGAGCCGGCGCTGACTGCATGGCTCAAACGCCACTCGCTGCTACCGCACGTTAAGTCCGCGCTGATAGAACACAGCATCGACACGTTGGAGGTGCTGGTGGTGTCCATACAAGAGGGTGACCTGACCAAGGAGGTACTCAGGGAAGCCGGTGTGAAAATTGGACCGGCAATCAAGCTGATTCGGGAGGCAAAGAAGTGTGACGTGGACAGTTTTGTGTAGTGTAACGAGTTATCGTTCTGTTTCCTCTCATGTTTGCCGTCGTTGTTCTGCGCTGAGTTACTTCTGCCCTTCCGTCTTTAAGTTCGACGCCTTTCATCCAGTCCTAGCGCCCGACTGTCGTAGACCACCACTTGCACCGCTTCTGTCCCTTGTTGCTCCTCAACTCGTCAAGACGTGCTTCGTTCTGCTTGTACACTGTTCTGTACCTTCCGTGCTTTCATTGCCCTGTGTCATGCCACCACTTCTTGCTTCACCTTTGTTCCACAACACATCCTCCTTGGATTCAGAACACACATGCACATCACCCACTTCCCATGGGTTTTCATCCACGTCAGCCATCCACTTCACACCACCACACACTCACAAGTGTGAACGCGTCAACTGACTTTTTGATGTGAATGTGTACATGACCATGACACGTCAACAAAGCAAATGCATAACCCTTCCGCCACCCAACATGATAACCCCCCCCCCCCCAGCCACCTGATCACACGCGCTCAGGCCTCCTTCCACTGTCCTTAGAAGCGGTTCACCAGCGAGACGTCAGGCCACCGCCAATGGTAGTTTGTGGAGTAGCAGTTGCGCAGCACAACGCAGCCAATGTCTGACAGCCCGTGCATGTTGTCAAAGGCGCAACTCTGCAGAACAAGCCGCTGAATGCCTTGGAAGCAATCAAATTCCATGATGGCACACTTGTGAAGGTGGCAATTGAATACTTCTCGACAGCCTGTGATTGACAGGCTGCCAGGACCATCCGACACAACATTGGAGGGGGCAATAATGGGCACATGCTGAGCAGGAGCGGCCCTCACAGTCAATTCGTCAAGAAAAAGCGTGCCAATGGAGGTGAAGCCAACCCGCCCACAACAACTGTGTAGCGAGGCCCTGTGGCAGCGCGCAATGTCTTGATCGAGCGTGCAGGACGTGAGGCGAAGGTATTGTCGGTCAGAAAGCAGGTGGATGCCGTGCATTGGGTACTGGAATCGCCCGTGGAGAGTTAACGACTGCACCGCCGGCCCGACCCATTCGCAGTGAAGCTCGCCTTTGACAAGGCCATGCAGCTCTTTCACACAGGGCGGCACCGGCCCATCCACGTTGACGCCATCGACACAAACGTGCACATGGTCAGGGATACCATTCAGGGCACTGACATTCCTCACACAGTCCTTGAGCACGAGCTTGTCGGTGCGCCGGCCGAGGTCCACAAGAAACTCGCGTGACAACGCTCTACGAAACAACTTGAGTGCCAGCACATTGGCGTGCACAAAGTCGGGCAGCTGCGGCATCGTGAAGGGTGTTTCATCGGCAATCACAATTCTGTCAACGCGAGTGGGGCAAGTGAACTTCTTCACTTTTGATTGCAGTCGCAACTCAATGTGGGTGGCGTTTGGCAAGTGCAGCAGTCTTGGCACTGCCAGCATGTGTGCGAGCGTAATACGGGTGCCATCGAGTTTGTCATTCTGCAACTGCACCTGACGGAGGCTGAGGTGTTGCGCCGCGGTCACCACCGCGTCATCGCCGCTCAGGTGTGCGCCAACAACGCCGAGCTTTTCCACCCCGAGCAGCGGCGACAGGTCCAACGAGCGGCCGTACAAGCGAGCAAGCCTGATTTCCGGAATGCCCGCGTTCAACATGCCCAAGTCGGAGATGGAGGTGCTGTCGCTCAGTTCAAACCGCTGCACGTCTTGAATATCGCCACGAAGGGTCCGCTGATTTCGAGCACACCACGTCACACGTTTCACGTCATGGATTGTAACGTGGCCAATCTCAGTGGATTGGATGTCAAGGAAATCGATGTGACACGCGCTGAGCGACTCCAACGGACTTTGAATGACCAGGTTCACGTCAACCCCACGCGAGTTGGCGAGCAGCGACGTGCGGAGCTCATGCCACCGATCAGCATCACCCTGGCACATGAATTCAGCCGTGAGCGAAAACAGTGCTGGGGCGAACGCAGCGGTGACTGTGACCCTGTCACCAACGTGCTGTTGCTGCTTCTGAGAGTGCTGTGGTTGGGCGCTTCGGGTGCTTGTCCCTCCTGCATCCGTGGACGTGCTGGTGCCTCCTTCTTGCTTGCTTGCATCTGCACCGTGCACACTGCTGTCGTGCTCACTGGCGTCGAGTGCCTGATTCACGTCTGCGGCCCACGACTCGACGTCTTCAAGGGACGTGTACGTCACGTGTCCAGAGCGTGCGAACCGGTGCCAGAAGCCCTGCGTCTGTGGAGGAGACTGGAGCCTGGAGCGGAGAAAGGTGCACGTGCTTTTCCACGCCACACCCAGCCAACAATACGCGAGGAAGCGGTTCTCCAACCACACGACGACATGCGCAGTGTCGTCTTCTTGTAAAGGGAGCGCGGTGGCTGGCATGGCCATCGCGAGGGCCATCATTGCCGAGGTGGTCGCTGCGTGGGCGGGCACAAGAAGGTCCCGTTGGAACGCGTCAACCCAGTGCTCAGTCGTTCGGCTCTGGCGATTCCACACGTTTGTGCTCTTTGTGAACACGGTGGACAGGCACCACTTGGGCATGGCCCACGGCAGGTCATGGTACAGCTCGCGGCAAGTCAACATGAGGTTGAAGTACGCGCGCGCCACGTCGCGAGGAGGGCACTCCTGGGGCTTGCTGTCCAGCTGTCCCCCGAACACCCCGGTGCCCTTGTACTTTGCTTCCTGCTCTGCTTCCAACACCAACGTCTCCGCCACCAGCGCCCACGCTGCGCCGTCGTTCATGGTGAGAGTTGTGCTGTGTTGTGTTGTGTTGTGTTGTCTTGCTTGTTGTCTTGTGTTGTTGTGTTGTTGTGTTGCAGTGGAAAGTTGTTGCATATCTTTAGTCGCTGTTCCGCCTTGTTGCTTGCAAGCAAACACTCGCCGTCCGATTTGGTGTTGTGTCAAACAAACAGCAGTGTCCTGTTCACGCACTGCACGCTCTCACGCTCCCACACACTTAACCAACTGTTGTCCTGCCTGTTGTTCGTCTCTCAGCTCAACGTTGAATGGCCATTTTCCTCTCGCTGCTGACCGTCGCGTCAGTGTTGCTGGTGCGTGTGAGGCCGGCGTGCATGTGTGTATGTTCTTCCACTTTGACTCTGAGGCTCTTGGCTTCTTGTCTCGCGCTCAGCACTTGTTTTCTTGCTTTGTACTCCTATTGCGCGGCGTGCATGCGGACATGTGTTGTTGTACACACACTGACTTTCTTGTCTTATTCTTTCTAGGTGGCCACTGGACAGCCGTCCGGCTTTCATGGCTGGTGCGTGCGTGTGCTGATGCTCATGTGACGTGGAGGGTGGTGGTGGTGGTGGTGGTCACGCATGTATGCGCTTGCAGCATTGTTCTCTGTGTCTTGGCAGCGTGTGTTCCCTCGTGGCGCAGTCTGCCTGCCTGAACAGTTTTCCCATGGCAAACACCACCGCTGCACACTGCACACTTCACACTGCTTGCTGCACATTGGACAAGTGCACACGTTCACCTTCCTTCTTCTGCGCTGCCTTACATTCACACGCCAACACAAAACAAACTCGTGCATGATTTGTGTCTGTTTGCAGGGCCAACAACTTTGGTGGCTATCTGAGTTTCACCTGCCCTTCCAACCAGGTCCTTGACGGCTGGTATGGCGTCTTCAGCAACAGCCGTCGTAAGTGCCTGCTTGGGGTTTGCTTGTTGTGATAGATTGCAATTGTGCCGTCCTGTTTGTTTGTTTGTCCTGCGTGCTTGTTGAATCAGCATCTCACCAACATGTATCTCTGTGTGTTGATGTGCACCCGCGTGACAGTTGACCGTCGCTACTCTTTCCGATGCACCAACGGTGAGACATGACAGCGAAGATGTGCCTTTGTGTGTGCGTGTGCGTGTGCGTGTGCCTATGCGATGGGTGCGGCCACATAGATGCCTGCTTCCATACGAACGCACCATCACCATTCTCATCCCCCACCTTCTGACCCCACCTCGTTTCCCTCCTGCCTTCAGTCAACTCCATCACGTACCGCAGCTTTGGTGGCTATGAGAACAGCTACTATGGCGGGTTCACAAAGACATACCCCAACGGTCAGGCCATCTACCGCATTCAGGCTGGCCACTCCGATGGCTACCGCGATCGGTGAGAGAGAGAGTGTGTGTGTGTGTGTCTGGGCCGTTTGGTACACCTGTGTATCCCTTGTTATTGCTGCAGCCACGCTTCGGTCACTGTGTGTGCTTGCTCTTATGTGATCAGCGTGTCAGCAAACTGCTGACCCAAGTTGCTGGTCCATCTGTGTGCATTGCACCCTGTACACATGCTGATTAACGTGCACACCACGATCGTCTGCTGCTGTCCCCCCCACACACACACACAGTCGTTGGCGCATTGGCTGTGCAGACCACACAAACAACAACGGCCCGTACCACAGCAGCTGCTCGTGGAGTGGATGGACCAACAACTGGCCCAGCTACTACCCATACTACTACTGGTTCCCCTTCTACTACGTAAGTAGTGAATGCTGTTATGTGTGAGTGAGTGTGTGCGTTCGGGGCAGGGGGTGGACAATCGTGCAAGGGAGGCTGTGATCATGACTACATGCACCACCACCCACACATACATATACACGCTTAGCTGTGTGAATGTTCATGACCTGTCTGGACCAACTCACCATGTGTTTGTGCGATGCTTGCTTGTGGTGTAGTACTTCTACTACTTCTACTCCCCCTTCTACTACTACCACGTAAGACGCCCTGTTTTGTGCTTGCCCGTCGTTTGTACTGTGCATGCATGTGTGCACATGTGAACGCCTTCTTTGTGTCGCTGCCCCACAATCCCATGTGACACAAGCTCTTCCACTCAACTCACATGACCGTCCTCCTCCTCCTGCCCGCGCCTGCGCCTGACTCTTGCAGTACCCCACGACCAGCTTCACGGCAAACAGCAAGTATGTGATCCACGGTGTGCAGTCCGACTTCAGCTACACCTTCCGTGACCGCCGCTGGCGCTTCTACCAGTGCCGCGTCTCCTGCCGCAGGTACATGACTGCATACGTGTGTGTGCGCGCGTGTGTGTGTGGTTTTGTGTGTATAAATGTCTGCGCCTCCTCTGCTCACTCACCCACTCACTTATTGACATACTCACGCCCGCGTCCACAACAGCGGATGGGTCCAGTCTGGTACCGAGTGCACGTGCCCAAGTGGTTCGTACCAGAGGGGCAACGATTGCGTCAGCAGCCGCAAGTGTGGCCGTGGCCAATACGCCGCCTCGTGAGTCAAAACCGCACGCGTGTCCTCTGCTTGAGCCTGCCTCCCTTGCAGAAGTGCACTGCACTGCGTTTCGCCGTGCATCGCTGCGCCGCCTCGTGAACACACATTTATTCACACACATTTATTCACACACGCACACACACACACACACTCACACACGCACACACATTCATGCACACACGCACACTCTCAATCCCTCTCACCTCTTAGCCTCTTCCCTCCCCGCTCTCCAAAACTCAGGTCCAGCAACAACCGCTACTGCTACGACTGCCGCCCTGGCACGTTCCAGTCTGACTCGTCACATACGGACACAACGTGCTCCTCCTGCCCCGCCGGCAAGTTCCAGGACGACTATGGCCGTGCCGACTGCGAGACCTGCCCCAGCTCCCAGTACAACCCATACACCGGACGCTCGTCGTGCCGTGACTGCTCCTCCGGCTACTACCGCAGCAGCCCCAGCACGCAGACGCGCTGCCAACCCGGATACCGCTGCCCTGGCTCGTGCTCCCGCATTGCATGCTCCCCAGGCACATACCAGAACAGCTACCGCCAGGTGTCGTGCAAGTCCTGCGAGGCTGGCAAGTACCAGACCGAGTCTGGCGCGTCCAGCTGCAACAACTGCGCCAACGGCTACTACACCACCTCTGCCGCGTCTGCCCCCAGGCGCTGTCAGCCCGGCTTTGCCTGCAGCTCGTGCAACCGCCGCGCGTGCAACGGCGAATTCTACCAGAATGCGGCCGGCGAATCCGAGTAAGTTCATCAAGCATACGAGTTAGTGTCGTTGGATGCACCACAACTGTGAGTGTGTGTACTTGTTGTGCACTTGTGTCAACCCTGGAGATGACGTGATATGGCTGTGTGTGCATGAGCCACCAAAGTGTCAAGCAGTGCGCTGTTGTTGTCTCCCCTGCCTTTGTTTTGCTTTCGTACCCTTACGCTTCCACTCACCACAACCTCACAACCCTACAACCTCCTCCACCGAACCCCTCCACCAACCCCTTTATTCAGCTGCAAGCGCGCAAGCCAGTGTGGTGCTGGCCAGTACGTGAGCCGTGGCCCGTCACAGACAACGGACCGCGTGTGCGGCTCGTGCTCTCTGGGCCGCACGTACCAGGACGCCAGCTCCCACACCTTTGGCAGCTGCAAGCCCGTGCGCAACTGCCCTGCTGGTACCTTTGTCGCCGCGGACCCCACCCTCAGCTCCGACCGCGTGTGCGGCAAGTGCCAGGAAGGCACATACTCCTCGGGCGTCAACGCGAAGCAGTGCGAGGACATTGGCACGTGCGATGCTGGCGAGTACGCCTTCTTCGCCTCGTCCACCTCGGGCGTGGACTGCCGCGCCTGCGCGCTTGGCTCCACCTACCAGGATGAGACAAACCACAACCGCCAGTCCTGCAAGACTGTGTCTCCCGAGTGCCCGGCGGGCCAGTTTCAGGCCGTTGCTCCAACCCGCTCCAACGACCGCGTCTGCAACGACTGTCACCCAGGTACCTTCTCTGATCGCCCTGGCGGTGACGAGTGCGACCCTCACACGCAGTGCGGTGCCGGTTTCATCGAGACCAGCCCCGCCACGCCGACCTCCGACCGCGCCTGCCGTCGCTGCAACGGCGTCACGCAGTACCAGGACGAACTGCACCAGGCCTCGTGCAAGACCGTGCGCACGTGCTCTTCCACCCAGTACGAGACCACGGCGCCCAGCCCCTCCAACAACAGGGTGTGCGCCTCTTGCACCACCTCCTGCCCCAGCGGCAAGGTGCTTGTCGGCACCTGCGGTCCCACCACCGACAAGCGGTGCGAGTCGTGCCACCCGTCGTGCGCCACGTGTGACGGCACCACGGAGAACGACTGCCTCTCTTGCGCCGACTCAAGCCTCACCCTTCTGGACGGCCGCTGTGTCAACCCTGACTGCGGCGAAGGCGAATACCGCGACGGCGCAACCTGCAAGCCGTGTGACTCCTCTTGCGCCGAGTGTGACGGTGTGTGTGTGTTGTGTGCCGTGTTGTTGCTGTGTTGCGTGTGGGCGTGTGTTTGTTGCGTTGCTCGGTCTGCGTTGGGGGTTGCTGACGTCGCCCAGCTTGTTCCTGGTTCACTACTGATCACATATCACATGACTCCACACGTCAACACACAAAACACCACGCCCCAACACGACCACTCCAACCACTGACTCACTCACTCTTTTTTGAACCACTCACCTCCCTCACCCCTTCCCTTTGTAGGCGCCGGTTCGAACCGCTGCATCTCGTGCAAGGGCGATCGCTACCTTGATGGCAACTCGTGCGTGACCAAGTGTCCGACTGGGTACTTCAAGTTCACCAACAGCGAGCGCGACAACGTCTGCCGCCGCTGCACCAGCTGTGATGACGGTACGTTTGCCTCGACCCCTTGCGATGGCAGCACCTTCACCGACACGCAGTGCAGCCCATGGAGCACGTGCGACGAGGGCGAGGAGGAGGACACTCCACCCAACAGCGTTCGCGACCGCGTGTGCCGCAAATGCGAGGCGGACAAGGAATACCAGGACCAGCCTGGCAAGCTCTTCTGCAAGTCTGTCAGCGTGTGCCAGCACGGCCAGTACGTGTCAACCGAACCCACCCTGACCACCGACCGCCAGTGTTCCGCTTGTGGCACGGGCACCTTCACCAATTCGGAGAACGCCGCGCGCTGCCTGCCCTGTGCTGCAGGTTCATTCCAGGACGAGACAAACTCCCCAAGCTGCCAGGAATGCGGCATCGGCATGTACGAGCCCGAGCAGGGCCAGACGCAGTGCGCGGAGATCCCGCCCGGCTACTACGGCGTCGGCGGCACCATCTCCACCCGCACGGGCATTGCCGAGTGCCCGCGTGGCTACTACTGCCTCGGCGGCTCCCACGACAAGCAGGCCTGCCCGCCCAACCAGTACCAGTCCGAGACCGGCCAGAGCCAGTGCGTGGACCTCACCGTGTGCGGCGATGGCGAGCTTGTCTCCAAGGAGCCCACCAGCATCAGCGACCGCGAGTGCTCCCCTTGCCCCGACGGCACGTACCAGGACGACAACGACCACGACATGACCGAGTGCATTCCCTGGACCACCTGTCCCGTCGGCACCCACATCTCTACCACAGGCAACGCTCGCCGCGACCAGTCGTGTGCCAGCTGCGACGCCCCGGAGACGTTCCAGGATAAGGAGAACCAGCGCACGTGCAGGCCCGTCTCAGACTGCCCCGTCGGCACGGCTGAGCTTGTTGGCCCCACCCCCACCTCCGACCGCAAGTGCCGCGCTTGCCAGGTCGGTACCAACTACGCCGATGACACGGGCCTGGAGATTTGCAAGCCCGTCACCAACTGCCGCCCCGGCACGCGCGAGGTGGCCGCCCCAACAGCCAGCTCGGACCGCGTGTGCCAGGCCTGTGAGCCCAACACGTACACAGAGTCAGAGAACGAGAAGACGTGCCGTCCACACACGCTGTGCGGCGCCAGCGAGAAGGAGGTGGAGGAGCCCACCACTTCCAGCAACCGCCGCTGCGTGCGTTCTCAAGTAGGATATTCAGTGTAATAACTATGTGCTTGTTGCCCCAACACCTCACAAAAATGTGCTACCATTGCCTCACCTCCACAATACCCGTTCCCCCACCCACTCTATTCCCTCATGTCAATTCGAACAGGGCTGCACTGGACCGGCAATTGACGAGTGCACGGCCTGCGGACCCAACCTGCAGCTGCGCAACGGCCGCTGCATCAGTGAGTGCCCCGATGGCGAGTATGAGCTCGGCAATGGATGTGCTGAATGCCACTCCACGTGTGCCGACTGTGATGGCCCGGACGCCACCAACTGCCTCCTGTGCGACGGCAACCTCAACCTCTGGGTCGACGAGCAAGGCCAGTCGTGCATTGCCGATTGCCCTCCCGGCTACTACGCCAAGGACCACCGCTGCGTGCCATGCACCTCATGTGGCATGGGCACCTGGGCCTCCACCCCATGCTCCGCGTCATCCGACGCCGTCTGCTCTCCCTGGACCGAGTGCAAGCCTGGCCAGAAGGAGTCCGTCTGTCTCTGGCAACGCCGTGCGCGACCGCGCGTGCGTGAGCTGCACCCTCGGCATGGAGTACCAGCCGCTGCCGGGCCGCACCTCGTGCTTCCCCACCAGCGTGTGCGAGGAGCCCTTCATCGAGACCATCCCGCCCACGCTCACCACGGACCGCCTGTGCTCCTGTGACACGCTCACCTGCAACAAGTTCATCACGCAGCTGTTTGAGGAGATGGTGTGCGCCGAGCCCACGGACAAGCAGTTCGACGTCGTGCTTGATGTGTGCTGCTCCGGCCAGGGCGAGGATGGCATCCGCGACACCATTCGCCAGATGGACGCCTACGAGGCACGCCGTTCCTGCCCGGGTTGCACAGACACGTGCGAGTGCAGCGCTGGCTTCATCCTTGTCTTCGACGCCGACTCGGCTGACTGCCGCCCGTGCGACGGCGTGACGGAGTTCTCCCCATCCATTGGTGGCAGCAAATGTGAGCCCATTGAGGAGTGCGAGCGCGGCCAAGAGGAGGTGTCCGCGCCAACCTGCTGCTCCTCGGACCGCGTGTGCCGCGACTGCCTAGCCGGCACCATCGACAAAGACAGCGCCGGCTCCACGGGTTGTCAGATGTGCCCCGCCGGCCACTACACGGAGGCGGGCTTCCACGGCTCCTGCTCCAGCTTCACCTGCCGCGCAGGCACCCACGACCACGACAGCGACGCCGCCACGCCGTGCCAGCCGTGCGTCTTTGGTATCACGTACCAGGACGAGGAGGGCCAGACCACGTGCAAGGACGTGACAGAGTGCGCGCCCGGTTTTGAGGAAGTGCAAGCGATGACGCTTATCAGCGACCGCGTCTGCGACGAGTGCCCAGAGGGCACATACAAGGCTATCTCTGGCCAGGGCGTGCCCTGCCTCCCCGTCACCACGTGCGATGCTGGCGACGAAGAGACGGCCGAGCCCACCCCCACGAGCGACCGCGTGTGCAGCCAGTGCGAGCTTGGCGCCACCTTCAAGCCCGTCGACGGCCAGGCCGAGTCGTGCCGCCCCGTCACGCAGTGCGGCCCGGATGAGGAAGAGATTCGCGAGCCCACGCGCCAGCATGACCGCCTCTGCCGCAAGTGCGTCCAGGACATTACCTACCGCCCCGCCGGCTCAGACACGTGCGTGCCCGTGTCGCGTTGCGCGGCCTCAGAGTACAATTCCACGCACGCCACGCTCACCACGGATGTGGAGTGCACGGCCGTGAGCAACTGTGAGTTTTGGCACCTTCCAGAGCCAGGCGCCCACGCTCGACTCTGACCGCGAGTACGCTGGAGTGTTCCGAGTGCCCCAGTGGCCGCTACGAGATTCGCGCCTGCTCTGCGCTGGAGAACGTGCAGTGCGCCGGTTGCTCTGCGTGCCCGCCGAACACATACATCCTGCGCGCATGCGACTCGGAGAATGACGTGTCGTGCCAGCAGTGCAGCACGTGCTCTGATGAGCAGTACCGCAGCGCACCATGCACCGCCACCAGCGACACGGAGTGCACGACGCTCGACGTGTGCGACCAGGACCAGTTTGAGCTGTTCCCCGCCACACCAACCACGGACCGCATCTGCCGCGACCTGAGCCAGCGCAACCCGACGACGGAGTACGAGCGCACCGCCTGTGCCACCTCATTTCCAAGTGCGACCCTGGCGAGCAGCGCATCCGCGCGCCCACCTCCACCTCCGACGCCAAGTGCGAGCCGTGCCCCATCGGCACCACCGACCACGACCGCAACCCGCTCACCGCCTGCCAGCCGTGTCCCTATGGCCACTATGTGCCTACGGGATCCATCGGCTCCTGCGAGCAGTTCCTGTGCCCAGCCGGCACCGCCGACCTGGACCGCAACGCCAGCACGCCGTGCACGCCGTGCCAGGCTGGCGTGGACTTTGCCGCCCTCTCTGGCCAACGCGATTGCACGCCTGTGACGGAGTGCGACCTCAGCTGTCATCAGGGGGTGCGCCCTACCATGCACCCCACCATCTTCACGGACCGCCAGTGCCGCCGCTGCATCGAGGGCCTGTTCTACCGCGACAGCAACATGGACTTCTGCACACGCGAGTGTCGCCCTGTGAGCCTGGCTCGTTTGAGACGGCAGCGCCCACCACCATCAGCACGGACCGCGAGTGCCAGATGGGCCACACGTGCCCCAACAACACCACGTTCATCTCGCGCCCGCTCACGCCCACGACGTAGAACCACAGGCATCTGCTCGCCGTGCACGCAGTGCCTGTGCAACAAAGTACGAACTCGTTGCGCCGTCGCTGGTCAACGACCGTGAGTGCCAGCGAGTATGCGCTCGTGCCAGGACACGGAGTGCGAGGTGTCGGCGCCCACAGCCACGACGGACCGCCTCTGGGCCACCATCAGCACCTGCCCCATGGAGCAGTTTGAGGTGCTCCCGCCCACCACCACCTCGGACCGTGCGTGCGCGCCCGCGTACTCTGTCTCGCTCATCTTTGATGCCAAGTTCAACGCCCTTGCCGGCACACAGTCGCGCCGCGAGGCGTTTGAGGCCGCGCTGGTGCAGTCCATCAACACGACGCAGGACGCGTCGCAGATTCATTCTGCGCATCGACCTGCGCCAGGGCTCCATCATTGCTACCATCCCCTCCCTGAACGAGGACATTACGGCGTGCCTCTTCAACCGGTCCGTCTCTTGTGACATGACCGTCATGGCCTTCACCGCATCGCCGTGCGAGGCCGACGCGTTCCTGGAACCTCGTCTTTTTGATTGTACGCGTGCACACGTAATCGCACCCATCACGCACACACCAACTGCTGCAGCCACTCACACGCACGCACGCTTGCAATTTCACGTGGACGCCACATCCCGACATCAACCACAACAGCAGCCGCCACCATTGCACCTGTTGTGATCGCGTGCTGCCAGTACACACCACCTTCACCTCCCACATCATCATCATCATCATCGTCCCAGCACTGCTGCCACCACTACCCACCACCAACGACAGCAACGAGCTCAGGGCATCTAATGCTGTTGGCTCTTGGACCATCACGGCGCTGTTGGAAGAAACGCTAGCAGCAGCAGTGGTTGTGGTGGTCGTGGTGCACGCCATGGCAACAGCAGCGACAGCTGATGAGGTGGTGGTGGTGAATGTGGTGGTGCTTGCATTCCTCACGAGTTCCAGCAACAGCAAGGAGGTGGCCATCGTGCTTCTGGTGAGCACGCATGTGCTGGGTGTTGTTGGTGCCACCGCTGACAACAGCAGTTGTTGCGGTGAGCGACAACGGCGATGAAGAAGAAGATGGATGTATGTGGTGGGGCATGGTACGCAGCCAACCTTCCTTTGTGGTTGGCTGTGCAATTGGCGTGCGCACACAGATAGTGGCGATGACGAGACGGCTGCCAATCAAATCACTTCCCACCTGAGAAACCACCGCATCGTGGCTCATGCACGCGTGCACGTCGTTCTTCCTTCAGACCAGCCATCGACAGTGCAGCGTTGCTGTGTGCCACGCGGTGCTTGATGATGCGTCGTTGTTGTTGTCACTGCGTCGGCTGTTTGTTAACACGTATGCCGTGCATGCCCACCTTCCTTCCTCCCTCCCTTCCTTCCTTCCTTGCTGTTCTCTGCTCTGCCATTCTCCCTTGCCAGTGTGTGTTTGGTCGCTGGTTGCAGTGTTGTGATGATTCTACCTTGCATGTTCAATCGTTCTCCAACAACAATACATTGGAACAGAGCAAAGACATGAAGAGATGACAACAGCCCTCACACACGGGCACACACGCAACACCAACACGCACATCCAAGCAAGAGAGGAAGGCAGAACCAGAGACACAGCACAGCTCAAGATAACAGCCACATCGCATGGTGCCACTTGCAGTGCAGCCAAACAGCCAAGTGCAAGGGGGTCTGCAACAACGACAACAAGGGCGCAGTCATCCACAAGCCACCACTGTGTGTCAGGAGTGCTGCAGGGCACAGAAGACCCACAACGCAGGTCAGTCGACGACGCTATTGTTGCTGCGGCTGCTCTTGAACGCCTCGCACCAGTCCTTCAAGCAAGTCCCTCCAGTGTCAGCTGCACTTGGTTGCCGTCCTTGTCTGCTGGTGGTGCTGTCATCTGCACCGTGTCTCGTGGATGGCCTGCGTGATGAAGCAGAACGCGTCCAGCACCACCACGACGGTGTCAGAGGGAAAGAAGTCGACGCTGCCGCGCACATCCATCAAGCCTGTTTGTGTGGTTCACAACACGAATCCACGCACGCGCAAGGCAGTACCAGCAAGAGTGAGTGAGCGAGGTGTGTATGTGGGTGTGTGTGTGTGCGTGAGTGTGCGTGCATCAACGCAGGTGATGTGGAGAACACGCATGAGGAGCTGCAAGCGTGCCATCACATGGAAGCAAACCATCATCAGGAGGCAAAACACGCATGGACTCACTCACAAGCAAGGATGACGCAGCCACTTGCCACTGCCATGGCCTCATGCATCGACGATGCCGTCGCCAGGCAGTGAGCCAGCTAGCCAGCTTTCAGTCAGGAAGGGAGTGTCCAACATCGTCGTGGGGGCAGCAGGCTAAGGGGGATCTTGCACGACTCTTCTCATGTGATTCGCACCACTGCCACCACACCCTTGTCGTTGTCAGCGCATGCTGCTGGTGCTGCTGCTGCTGCTGTGTTGGCGAGCAAGGCGAGGGAGATGGTCATTCATTCTGGTTGCCACCGCGTTGGTGAGCGTAGCCACTACCGCTGATCCATGCATGGAGTGCAATGGTGGCTGGTGGTTGGTTGAGTGTGGTTGGTTGGTTGAGTGAGATGTGAGTGAGTGTTGGAGAGGGAAGGGGAACACGGGCTGAGGGGACGGAGGAAGGAAGGAGGAAGGAGGGTGGAAAGAAGGGAAATGGTGCTGTGGGTGGTGGAGGTTGTGTAGTCACACCAGTCGCACCAGTCAGTCAGTGGGAGAGAGAAGAGAGGGAAAGGAAAGGAAGTGGTGCACACTTCTGCACGTGGCATGGAGCAGCAGCACTCTCACCAGAGCAGAGAAGAGAGAGGAGAGAGGAGGGGAGAGGAGGGGAGAGACTGAGAGAGGAGAGGGGAGAGGAGGCACTGCAGCACAGTCAATTCATCCACTGGCTGGTTGGGTGGTTTGTTGAGAGTGGTGGTTGTTGTGGGGAAAAACAAACAAAGGAGAAGGAAGGAAAGGACAGCTGGCTGGCTGCATTGTGGAGGAAGATATGGGGAGTTTTCGTGGCTGGCGAGAGAGGAATGGTGGTGGAAGTCTTGATGTACTTTTCGTGGGGTGCGCCCAAGAAAGGCACACAGCAAGCAACACAAGAAGAGAAGGGAATCAGCAAGCACTGCAAGCAGGCGTGGGTTGTTTGGTTTGTGGTGTGTCCTCTCCAACTCCATTTCTAGATTTCTGCGTCGTTCCAGGTCTCACAGCACCCCAGCCACAACAAACAACAAGCAAGGGACAGAAGAGGGCAGAGAGGGAGGAGGAGAACAGACAAGGAGGAGACAGGGGAGATGGGTGACACCCACAGCAAGGCAGAGGGAGAGGGAAGAGAACCTGCCAACGCAAAGAACGCAAAAACAACAACAGCCATGTCCGGCGGAGAGAAGTGGACGAGGGAGGAGCTGGAAGCCTTGCTGGCACAGACGAAGATGTGGCAAAGGGTGAAGGACAAGATCAGGGCCATCGCCAACAACACGTGTGGGGAAGCTGTCGAGTGAGTGCGAGCAACAACGACATGACATGTGTGTGCATGTTGGAGAAAAGAAAGAAGAGCACTCGCTGTGCTTCTTGACCACCCTGCTTCGCACGTCCTTGTCTTGCTTGAGTTGTTGTGTGTTGCTTGGCGTTCCTGTGCTTGCGTGTCCGATCGCACAACCTGGCCACATAAACGGAGAGTGTGTTTGTGGCAGTTTGTGACCTGCACCCTCACGTTTGCTCTCTTTCACTCTCATGACACACGATTTTGAATCACAGCTTCATGGGTGCTTCCTTTGACGCCGTTGGGGCGCGTGCAGTGGCCGAGGCGCTCAAGGACAACACCTGCGTCAAACGACTCTTGTACGCGGTGATGTGAGCTGCATTGTATGACACGCATGGTTGATTGTGTTGGTGTTGCATGCTCCTCCTCATTCATGTCTCTTCTTCTTCACACTTTGGATGTGCTCAACTTTGCTGCCTGCATTCTTGTGTGCACAGCCTGCGTGACAACTCCATCGGCCCTGAAGGCGCCGTAGCGTTGGCGGAGATGCTGAAGCACAACACAACCATCACAGTACTTTTGTGAGTGTGAGCGCACACGTGCATTGAAAGACACTTGCTTTGAACATATGCTTGTGTGTGCTTGTATGGTTTTGTGTGTGCAGGTTCAACGGCTGTTTGCCACCCACTGTGCCCGTCACCCACTCATCACTCATCACCACCGCGTATGCTGTCATCCACCTCCTCCTCTCTCGTGTGTGTGTGTACAGCCTGGATAGCAACTCCATCGGCGACGAGGGCGCCATGGCGTTGGCGGAGGTGCTGAAGCACAGCACGCCCCTTAAAGGACTTTAGTAAGTGTGGGCATGTACATGCATTGCGAGACATTCGCTTGGAGCATGCGTGCGTGTGTGTTCCTGTGTGCAGACTCAACGACTGTTCACCACCTACTGTGCCCGTCACCCACTCATCCCTCCTCATCACCGGGTATGTCATCAACCACTCGCTCCTACTGTCTCTCTCTCTCTCTCTCTCTCTCTCTCTCTCTCTCTCTCTCTCTCTCTCTCTCTCTCTCTCTCTCTCTCTCCGACCGATTAAGCAATTGGTCGGAATTTCCATTAACGAAGAAACAAATTTTACCACATACCCAACCCACCGGCGTGTACGTAGACTGCGGTTTTACACCGTTAACTGATAGGACTGACTGTGGTGGAGTCAGAATCACGTCAGGCCACGTACGGAAAAGTCTGCTCTTGCTACCGTGGAACACTGGTGGGGACACACAATCTTTACGGTGGCTTACCAAAGGATGAGATGAAGCACAACGCGACCCTCAAGACATTCGAGTGAGTGAAGACATGCACGTGCGTCGGAGTCACTTGGTTTGAGCGTGTGATCATGAGCTTTGTGTGTGGTTTGCTGTGCAGCAAGTTCAACGGCTGTTCGCTACCCGAATGTAGTTATCACCACTCATCACTCCTCACCACTACGTACGCTGTCATCAACCGCTCACTCCCAGCCTGGGGAGCAACGGCATTTGTGACCAGGGTGCTGTGGCGTTAGCGGAGATGCTAAAGCACAACACAGCCATCACACGACTCGTGTAAGAGCCGGCACGCACATGTATTGAAGGACATGGAGCGTGTGCGTGTTTGGTTTTTGATGCACAGGCTCAACGGATGCTTGTCACTCACCGTGTGTCCGTCACTCATCACCCCTCAACCCCACGTACGCTACCATCAACTTCCACTCCTCCCATCTTATCTCTTGTGTGCACAGCCTGCGTGACAACTCCATCGGCCCTGAAGGCGCCGTAGCGTTGGCGGAGATGCTGAAGCACAACACAACCATCACAGTACTTTTGTGAGTGTGAGCGCACACGTGCATTGAAAGACACTTGCTTTGAACATATGCTTGTGTGTGCTTGTATGGTTTTGTGTGTGCAGGTTCAACGGCTGTTTGCCACCCACTGTGCCCGTCACCCACTCATCACTCATCACCACCGCGTATGCTGTCATCCACCTCCTCCTCTCTCGTGTGTGTGTGTACAGCCTGGATAGCAACTCCATCGGCGACGAGGGCGCCATGGCGTTGGCGGAGGTGCTGAAGCACAGCACGCCCCTTAAAGGACTTTAGTAAGTGTGGGCATGTACATGCATTGCGAGACATTCGCTTGGAGCATGCGTGCGTGTGTGTTCCTGTGTGCAGACTCAACGACTGTTCACCACCTACTGTGCCCGTCACCCACTCATCCCTCCTCATCACCGGGTATGTCATCAACCACTCGCTCCTACTGTCTCTCTCTCTCTCTCTCTCTCTCTCTCTCTCTCTCTCTCTCTCCCTCTCTCTCTCTCTCTCTCTCTCCCCCTCTCCCTCTCTCTTCTCTTGTGTGCACAGCCTGGGCGACAATGGCATCGGTGACCAGGGTGCTGTGGCACTGATGGAGATGCTGAAGCACAACACGACCCTCGAAGAGCTGTTGTGAGAGTTTCATTCAAGGCGCCCACTCTGAGCGTGTGCTTGTTTAGTTGCGTTTGCTTTTGTTGTGCAGGAGGCTCAACGGCTGTTTGCCACCGTGTGCTCGTCATTCACTCATCACTCCTCACCACCGTGTATGCTCTCGTCGACCTCCCACTCCTCTCTGTCTCTCTCACACACTCCCTCACACATGCACACACTCACTCTCCCCCCCCACACACACACACTCTCTCTCTTGTGTGTCCACAGCCTGTACCGCAACTCCATCTACGATGAGGGTGCCGTGGCGCTGGCGGAGATGCTGAAGCACAACACAACCCTCACATATCTCGAGTGAGTCAGACATGCACATGCATTGAAGGCGCCAGCTTTGAGCGTGTGCTTGTTTGGTTGTGTTTGGTTTCGTGTGCAGCAGGCTCAACGGCTGTTTGCCGCTCACCATTTGCTCGTCACCCACTCATCACTCATCACCACCGCGTGTGCTGTCATTCACCTCCTTCTCTCTCTTGTATGTGCGCAGCCTGGGTGGCAATTCCATCAGCGATGAGGGTGTTGTGGCGTTGGTGGAGATGAAGCACAACGCGACCCTCAAGACATTCGAGTGAGTGAAGACATGCACGTGCGTCGGAGTCACTTGGTTTGAGCGTGTGATCATGAGCTTTGTGTGTGGTTTGCTGTGCAGCAAGTTCAACGGCTGTTCGCTACCCGAATGTAGTTATCACCACTCATCACTCCTCACCACTACGTACGCTGTCATCAACCGCTCACTCCCAGCCTGGGGAGCAACGGCATTTGTGACCAGGGTGCTGTGGCGTTAGCGGAGATGCTAAAGCACAACACAGCCATCACACGACTCGTGTAAGAGCCGGCACGCACATGTATTGAAGGACATGGAGCGTGTGCGTGTTTGGTTTTTGATGCACAGGCTCAACGGATGCTTGTCACTCACCGTGTGTCCGTCACTCATCACCCCTCAACCCCACGTACGCTACCATCAACTT